CACACACACACACACACACACACACACACACACACACACACACACACACTCACACACACACACACACGCACACACACCGAAAATAGGCATCGCGCAAAGTGCGCACCTTGCAGTGGTAGCGCGTCCTCATGCGCTGCGCGCACGGCGCAGCGCACCACATCGCGCACCGCACTAATGCGCCGCAAGTATGCCCTAAACCCTTCTTCCAACTCTGAACTCTTCCCCCTCCTTTGGCCTTTCTCATTTTCATTCTCTCTTATTTGTCCATCTCCCTTGAACTCTACACTTTCTCTATTGCCCTCTGACAACTTCCCTTTAAACCCTGAATCCTTTTTTTTTTTTTATATATATATAGAACCCTAAACCCTAGTCCTTCCCTCTCTCTCCGTTTTGACCCTTGAATTTTAATAGCAAACAGATTGCTGAACATTAACTCCTATCTGTTCTAGGTTACCCTTATCTAGGGCTTGTATCTTGTCTTATGATGTGCTTGAGCCTTAAACCTTRGMGCCTCCCCTTCTCTCCCTTTACACWMTGTGTCCTCCTTCTTTCATGGCAGGTTGGYGTTGCTGCTGTTTCCTTTTGGASTATCCCTTTCTATTTTTGCCTTGGCTTTCCATTTGTCCCGAACCTCCGTTTGGAAGTGCTGTCCTTGCCATTTTTGTTTCTTCATAGGCACTAATCTTTACTTCCTCTTACCCTCCCCTATTCTATGGTTGTGCTTGTTCCTCCTCCGAGTTTTCCKTTCTTATCAGTCTAAGYCCATTGCGCTTGTGTTATTCTGACTTGTTCTTGGGCTGTCCRGATCCCACCAGTTCGTGAATTGAAGGGCTTTTCCRTTTATCCTTGMCATTAGTCCCTCCTTCAGCCACTGTTTTTCAAATTCTTTCTGTATTTTGGTCCTCTTCTGATCCTCTATTTCCTTGTCCATTTTCCCAAGCACTCGTTTCCATTCCAYYCTAACTCCTGTTTCTACCATTTYCTTAGCCTCTTCCCATGATTCAAYTGCCRTTATCTTCTTTTTTCCTATTGTGTTTYCACATCTGRCTCTCCATATTACCCACAGGGTTGTTCTTCGCRATAACTCTGTGATCTCCTTATCCTCCTCAGGGATTAAGCCTTCTCTGTCTATTGCTGTTAGTAGGAGGARTTGGTCYGTCGGGAATTCATTATTAGATAGGTTGGACCAAGCCTTTTTGCACTTGATCCAGAGGGCTTTGGCGTGCTGGCATTCCAGTAGGCAGTGAGTTAGTGTTTCTGCTACCTGTTCCTGGCACATTTGGCAGTGTGCTGAGGATTCTGTTCTATCTTCCTTTCTCCTCTTTGTTTCTAACCACTCATTGGTGTGGACTGCCATATAAATTATCAACCATTGTAAGCTTCTCACTCTCTGAGGCCTGATCGTTGCATAGTAGGACCATGGGATTGTTTGCAAGAAAGCGGGGTCTATTTGGAGTTTTTTTTCCCACCTTGCGGCTATGATCGGTTGTGGATTTTCTAGCTTGCATCTTATCTTATACCCCCGTTTTACTGTGTATTCGTGCAGCGGGATCCACTTTTTGGCTCTTCCCCTCCCTCTGTTCTGATACCAGCCCCACTCATTGGGGTCGACTTCAAACTCCGATATGTCTTTATTTGGTCTAAACAGACAGGTGGGGGGTTCTACTTTCTTTCTTTCTTTCCTTAGTCCTTTTTGCTCGTTTTTAAGTTCTCTGACCTTCCTCAAGTCTTGTAGGGCAAAGTCTAGACTGATTAGGGTGTCTTTTCTGACCTCCACTATTGTTTTATCTGCGTCCTCCAACTCATGTACTTCAAATTTGGCTATGCGCCTATCGGTTCCCTCGTATCTTATGAAACGAAGGGCTACCGAGGGTGTTTCTTGTGCCTTCAATGTTGCCCAGTCTCCTTTCTTCCAAACTGTACTTCTTTTTAGCGTTGACCTCCAAGCTATTGGGATACTGTCTATCAATTCCTCTAAGTTTTTTTGTAAATTGTGATGGCCTCTCAATTTAGTTCTAAGGTCTCCTTCTGATTTCCACTTGCTGTTTCCTTCATCCCATATGTGTCCGATCTTCCATATGCCTCTCTCTACCCAAGTCCTCCATCTCTTCCCCCTCGCCTTGAGAGACCATGTCTTTCCATTCTGATCTTTCAAGAAGTCATTCCCAGACAGCGGTTGTCCCAAAATTTCTTCTTTGGTTCTTGGACTTCTTTTTCTTTGTGGGGAAGCTTCCCTCCATGCTGTTATCAGTTTTGCCCAGTGACCACTTGGGGGATCAGCGTTCGGTAACTGGTTCCTTTGTCTAGGTCTGCCTCCTTCCCTTCTGGGTGTCCAGTATCTGTTCATGATGCATGAGTGGCCTTCTATGCTGTCATGTGCTTTAAAAGGTAGCAGGTTTCTTATTTGATATAGGGCCATTTCTTGCCATGGTAGTTCCATTTTCAACAACAGTCTTGAGATCCACTGTGTCTGGAGAGCTTTATATTCCGTTATGGGGTCTATGAGACTGATCCCTCCTTCCTCTATTGGATTGGTTACATATTTCCAGGCTACTTTGGATATGAATTGGTTCTTGGATGCGTCCCCTGTCCATAAGTAAGCTGCTGCTTTTCTCTTTTTGTCCTTCATGAAGCTGGTGGGTGG